ATAGCTGCCGATCGGATGTCGACAGTAGGATCCGATAGGATTGCCGACACCGGGGATTGCGTCACATTTCCGTAACCGGTTTTCCAGGAAAATCCGATAGGATTCGGCCGAATTTGGTAGGAATCCGATAGGATGCCGATAGGATCCGAGACGGAACCTATCGGATCCTACTATCAGATTGGTCGACCTGGGCTGATCTCTTCCATCATTGAGAATTTTATTCAAGCCGTATTCATCTTTAGAATTCATCTCGTCTGTTTGTTCTTTTTCTTATGCTATGACATTCATATTGCTGTCAACATTCACTTCAATGCATGAAAAATTAGTCGAATCGATGATAGTGTCTGCTTGAAACAGACGAGATTGAGTATCCATAGATGATTAAGTCATATGAATATCCTGACCAGATGTTGCATTGCTTCTTATTGTTGCTGCCTTGATATATGATCAGAATTTTTTTGAAGTAAACGAGAAATTAATATATGAAAATCTTACCGTATTTGAATTAATTGGACGAGCTGTAGAAATCTTAGTATCAAAAGTATTGTTTGGTTGTTCGTTTTTGTCATTCGTCATAGGATTTGGTTTGATAGAATCGTCCTCCATGTTAGTTTTTGATGAAGTTGATATACGATACAATTTTGTTACGATACAAATAATACAATAATGAAGAACTTGAGCGGTAAAATAACTGAAAGTGTGACAGATAAATTAGAAAACAAAAAAGAGAATATGTTTTGAATATAAAGAAATGGGAAAAGATTATTTTTAGGAATGCAACAAATCCTTGTTTATCGACAAAAAGATTGTAAATTTTCAGTATGAAGAGGGATGTGGATGTGTATTAGAAATATGACGTTTCAGGACAAACGTTTGTTTCTGTCTTGTCGGGACTTCATCAGGTGGAATCTCAAAGATATTATATCAAATTTATATAGCAATTCAAAGAATATAATCATAAATTACAAAGGAATAACTATGTATGGTACAATAATCTATTATATATTACTATTGCACAAAGAATATATCGGATTAGAGTAGAATTAACTATATATAATTCATCAAAACAGAATATATATGTCCATATCTACTTACATATATTCAATTATATTAAAGATTATCAAAGATTTCTAACACATATTCGATGCGGTGCAGAAGCAATCAATTGAGTAGAACTGAATGATAAAGAAAATATACTTCTTTTTGTTGAATAGAAAAATCTAAAAAGGAAGAAAAATCAGTAAGAAAAAATAAAAAACTCTGAAATAGACTAACATATATAACTATGTAGAACTACTAGGCTATTCAAAATCTATAAGAAGAAGAGTATATAATGATGAACGAAGAAGACGTGTATACTCACTTCAGTGATTCTAGTTAAGAATAGATCACACACACACACACTACAGAGCCAAAAGAAAGCAAAAAAAAGGATTATTGATGTTCATAATCAATCTCATCTATTGAATAAACTAAGTTAGATATTGATCGATGAAAAAAAAAACAATGGTCATAGCAAGATTGTATAGCTTTTATATATTGTTGTCGGTTTGAGTTGCTGTTCCTGGTATCATGTATGGACGATTTAAATTCTTACGCCAAACAAGACTATATGGATAACCATAACGTTGTTGAGGATCACTACCAATAGGACAAATCATATTCAATTTTGTTTCACCATGAATTATAAATAATGTTTCGATCAGGTATCGTAATATAATCGAACAATCATTGGGTACTAAGTGATCAAAGATAGAAAACAATAGAAAATAAAATTGAATGGAATTCATCACTTACGAACAGCAATAATGGCTACTTGATACAAATCTACTATAGAATAAGGTCGTTGATCAACATCAGATGCAAGAAATTGTTCGAAAAATAAACGTTGTTCTTCTCTTTGATCATACGAAAAGACATATTTAGCCGGTGCTAATGGTACTTGTTGAAGACAAGAAGCTATTTTACGATTACCATGGATACGATGTACCATATGGAGTACAACATTCACTTCAGCATTTGTTGTTGTTGTTGCTGCTTCATTGGAAGAAGTAGAGGAAGGAGTTCTTTCTTGTACATAAGCCTCGTTGGGTGTGACAAGCAGCCATGACACGTGTTTCGTCCGGCAAAGGGACTCAACAGATGGGAAATTAATACTCGAGAATTTCAAAGTGAAATCCTAAGCACTAAATTTAAAACTGTTACCTCAAGTTAGAAAACTTGAAAGTAATGTTAAATTCATGTCATAGTGTGTGACAAGCAGCCATGACACGTGTTTCGTCCAAGCAAAGGGACTCAACAGATGGAAAATTAATACTCGAGAATTTCAAAGTGAAATCCTAAGCACTAGGGGGTGTGGGTGTGGGTGTGTTACAGTTACCACAATACAAATTGTATTTCATTTAAACTGATAAAAAATTATCAAGTGGCAGTGTATCTGTTATAGAATGATTCGAATTTGAGAGAAATTCAAATAAAAAACAAGATACAAAGACGAAACTCGAAAAAAATTTTGATAAACGCCATAATTATGGAAATGTATGTATTTATCACGTACTAATTTTATCAATTGAATGTGTGGACTTTTAAATTTATTTCTCCTTTGTTTTTTTTTCTTCTTTTTCTTATAATTTCTTCTCGGATTTTTAATATCTAGAATACACATGATTATATAAATATTGAAAGGTTAAATATTGGCTGCAAAAAATATTAAACAAAAAAAAGACTAGGTATTTTCAGCATTTTCCTTCGAATTAGAAGAACAGAACGGACGAATATACGTCTGACTTAGGAATTTGCTCAGTGTTAAATTAATGTTTTAGAATTTTAACCTTTGACAATCCCGTTTGTCTCTGTATAGTATAGCTTTAAAGTGAGCGAAATAGATGTCACGCATATTGTATGGTGTGGAGATGAATTTGGATAGGTTTGTGCGTAGAAATATAAGTTTTGCTTGCTTTTGTGATTAGTTTTCCCTTATATTGAGTATGAATATAGTTTTTTCGGTGAAGAAATCGGGTATTTGTTTTTGAAGTTGTTGTATAGTTAAAAGTTTCTGGAACGATATGTGGCGTTGATGGTCGTACCTCTTGGTTTGTAGGGTAGATAAGGTAAATGAATAGAACATTGGCTCTATTGTGAGTAAAGTGTTTTCGATTATCTTGGTTATGTTTGCCAATTTTTATGTATTTGAATTTTTGTTAGTCGTTGACAAGTTAAAAATTATCGCATAATATGAATTTGCAGTTGAAGTAGACACGATGTGAACAACAGTAGAAAAGATTTGTTTGAGTCTGATATGTATCTGAAATAAAAGAAAGTAATAACTAGATGAGTGTTAGTGCGGATTGAGAAGAAATGTTTTATAATAATGAAAAGCAAAACGAACACTATTTGGATTTTAAATAATCGATGGACAAGAACAATATATTGATTTAGTCTGTTAAAAATAGGAAAAAGAGATAGTTTCTAATGAGAGGGTGTATTGATGAATAGCATAATTTGTTCAGCTCGTTGTTTAATATTAAGTAGACAAGCTTCAATAATGTTGCGCATGGGACTGAGAAATGGTTGAAGAAGAGTTGTTGAAACACTTTGATCAGGATGATTAGTTGTATTACAGTTGAATCCAAACGTGTTTATGTATTCTGTAGCACTATTCTCGTGTATCATTCCTTGATTTGAAGTTTGTTTGGTTAATAATAAAGAATTCTTTTCTAGAGTAATTGCTCGTTGGTATGATTTACCAGTTATTCGCCAAAGTTTCTGAACAGACCGTATCTAGAATAAATAAGCTAAGTAAAAATAATGACATAAGTATTGTTCAAAACTTGTTCGTCATTTGGATTACATTCATAGAATGATTTGACCAGAAAGACTTCATTGATGTCGAAGTTTATCATAATTTTCTTGTGTTCAAAATAATTCAGGGATTTTTCTAAATCTCTCTTGACGAGAATACTAAGAGCATGATCAATGATATTCATTGATTCGCCAAGAGACTTTTTCTTTTGTTTTACTGCACAAGGAGGACTTTATTGTAAATGAACCTTCAAATTAGTTTCTGCTTGTTGTAATTTATTATCAATCAGTCTTTGTCGATGTCTTATGTTGTGTTCCGTTCGAGGATAATCCCAATTAATGAAATTTCGTTTCGTTATATCTTTAGATGTTTGAGATAACCATCTGACAGTAAGCATTGCTATATCGGCAACATGTTTCCAATAATCTTCTTCAATTTTCAATGCTGATAAAGTACACATGAGTAGAGCACGATGTCGAATAAAATGTAATATTGCAGTATTATTCGTTAACAATTGCCGAATCATTGCACACTGACTAGGAATACTTTTTGCTAGTCGATGTATGAATACATTGTCAGGCATTTTTCTATAATTTGGTAGAGTCCGTGATGAATTCTTCCAATTATCAATAGATAAATGACGCTTGTTCATATTCGTATGATGCATACTATTATTTGAGAAACGCCATGGTTTTTTTGTCTTTTGTGCGGGTTGTAATAACGGTTTTTGAGGTTTGAGAGTCGTCATTCGATTTTCTAGAATATTAACGACGTTAATCAATGCACGTGAATTAATAGAAGACGTTGTCTTTTCTAATAGAAGATATTTTATATCTAAAATAAATCATAGATATTTTAAATAAAAGTTGAATTAGAATTCCTATGAAGTCAACAATTTTTAGATAATATCTAGATATATTTGTTGTGAAGGTAATTTTTAAAAAATAAATCAAAATCCTATGTAAACTGATGAATATGACTTTCAACTGTGGCTTCTTGTACTTGGTACTAGAAAAAAAAAAGAAAAAAAAAACAAAGAAATAATATCATAGTTATTCAAATATAAGAATAAAACTAATTTTGTTCTACTTACAAGAAGTATTTCGCTGCTCATTAGTAGTTTTCAAGAAAGAACTATAGGAGTAATATGCTGTATAATTGTCTGTCATTAGGTTCATTATTTATGTCGCTCTGTTTGATGCTGTTTTTGTCTCTCAGTTGAGATTTTTTTATTCGAATCTGTTTATAATAAGGATAGACTTTTTAGAAATTCTAGAAACATGTGATTTTTACAGTTTCCTGTGTTAATCAATTTCTTGCTGTGGTCGAGTTGTTTGTTACAGCCGTGAAGGAAAGCAGCATTCGAATTGAACTGACTTTTTTCCAGTTGAAATTTACAATTTCAATCTTGTTCAAATGTAGGGTACTGTGTAGTCTTCTCTGCTAACATTCAATCTACAAGAGAGAGAGAGAGAAATAGAAGAGAAAATGCTATTTGTAAGTTTTCTGAAACAAACATATAAAAGACGAGTCATGAATCAATGATAAATGGAGAAAAAGCGATTAGAAGAAGGTCGTAAAAAAAAAAAACGAGTCATTCATTTCGCCCCCTTTTCTAAAATAGTTCTACTCTCCAGTGCTGATCGCATGTCTATTGATTATTTGTAATAGTTGTTCGATATGATTTTGATGAATTAGAAGAAGGTGTATGAGATTACTCTGAGATAATATTCCCTTACTTCGGTTTGTCTTGGTTTTAATTGATACAATGCGTTGACTAATTGATGATCTTTTGCATTAAATTTGAGTATAGTTCTTCGTTGTTCCAGTTCAATCCGTAAACGATATAGATTATGATATACAAAGTCTTGAGAGTGTGAAGAGTAATCATAATACTAAGTTTTAATATTTCGATTTTACGAGAAATCTTAGCAAGCGGTAAATATTTGTATGGATGAGTGAAATAAAGAGGAAAGTTTTTTTCAGGAAAATATGACGTATTAAGTAATTCAAGTTGAAAGTAGAGAGGATAGTATGTATAGTGTGCATGATTAATACAATAAAAAGATTTATATTTCAAACTGAGTGATAGGAATGATCAAGTGAGAAGGAGGATATCTGTTTGACTGATGGAATTGTAGAAGTCAAATGAAAAACCGAAATACTAAAGAATTGAAATTGAGAAATATTAAACTCAAATATCGAGGGTGGGTGTGGGTGTGTTACAAAATAGAATGATTCAAAGCATCATACGACGCGTTTCGACTGGAGCTTATCCCAGTCATCATCAGGTACGTTCTGAATCAAATACTACATGGATATATAATTTTGAAGATAGATTTCAAAACCTATATATTGAAGCAGTACTATATGGAAGTCAGAAAAAGACTAACAGCAAGTAAATGTTTCCGAGGAATATGAAATAAAAATCATTCAGTCATATATAAGACATAGATATTCTTTAGTAAATGGTGTGTTTACATAAGAATATAAAAGTTCAAGCATCATACAACGGGTTTCGAATCTGGGAAGCAGTGTTGGTATTGATGAGTGTTGTTTTTGAAGGTGAGGTCGGTTGTCTACGAGTTGAAGAATTATATATGCTTGTGAAGATTGATATGTAGAAGTTTGGTTACTTACTATTCGACCCTTTTTTTGCGAAGCGATTGCATCGTAATGTATTTGTTTTGTCCTTATTTCGTTTGGTGGAGCTATCTGTAGGTGAGTGTTGGTTGAAATTTGTGGGGATCACTGTTGAGAATAGTCTTTGGCATGGCTCATGGTTTGTTCAAGGAAGTAATCGTTTTTTCTGAATTTTTTTTGCGTATTTCTTGTATTTCTCTGTAGATGACTTTGGTTTGTTTCTGTTATTTTGTTGTTTTTTTGTGTAGTGGATGTGGTTCGTCTAGAATAGAGCAATTTGAAGATGGATTATTAGCACCAATTTGTGGGTTAATGTTTGAAGCTTTTTTGAGAGAGTTGAGTTTGGTTAGTTTTGATTTATTTATTTTTGCAAATAACAAAGAGATATTACAAAAATATGTGTTTTTACGAAAGAAATATGTTTATTGTTTTGATTATGGGATTTAAAGTTTTGTTGTTAGTCTACTGGCATTGGCGCCTATGAGTCTTCTCGGTGGGTCAAAATTGCTTTTGGTGGCTTTTTATGGATGAAGAATTTTTCAAGTGTCGCGTTGGTAGTAGTTACTGGTTGAACTTTAATTTTTTCCAAAGTTGAGCCGTTGTATGCATAGTGAGTTCGCCACCACTGTGTAAATCTTTTTCGAAAAGCGGTAGATGTAGAACTGTCGAAGAGATAATGCGGGTACATGGTATTTGAATCCCATATCTTCTGTTGCAATACTGTAGGTGATCGAATCGGATCTTGTGTCATAGTGTGAAGTTGCTTTTCACGTCGTGTCGATTGATGCAATAGTTGTTGATGTGGGTGACCGTATGCTTGAGAATTCAATTCATTTAGAACTAGCATGGCATTGTTTACTTGGAAGAATCGATTGAATTGTTTTCTAATGAAATTTGGTGGATAATTGTTTAATAATAGTGACATATCAATACGAATACGTTCTCTGTTGAAGTCGTGTAGATCGGAACAAATTCGAGCCGCACGTAATAAAGCAGCAAATGGTATATTGCGATGAACATGTCGTGGATGATCGGATGTGTATGGTAATATATAAGGTTCAGTTGTTGTTTTATGATAAAGATATGTCTTTAAGTTACCATCCATATTGATTATAGTAACATCCAAAAAGTTAACTGATGTATCAATTGCATACTCAGTTTTGATATTAGTATCTCTATTGGCAGCTTTTTCGAGTTCTATTTTAATTTCATCTATGCTCTGGTTAGTTGTCATGAATATATCATCGATGTACCTGTAAAAGATATATATCAGTCTTGATATACTTTTTCATTTGATAAATATTGCACAAACCTTCCATATACTCCTTGTGTATTGCTTGATGTTTGATTAAATCTTGCTCCCATTCATACATATAGATATTAGCCAATATTTGTGTAAACGCTGAACCCATAGCACCACCACGAGTTTGTTGATAATATTTGTTGTTATAAGAAAAACAATTAGTATCTAATATTAAACGAGCCATTCTCATAATACCATCAATAGATAATGTATCAATTTTTCCATGATGTAAATTCTTTTCTAAAAATTTCATCAATGTATGTAATGCACCTTCTCGAGGTATCATTGCATAAAGATCAGTCACATCAATTATAACAAATTTTGTTGTTGCCTGAAAATGATCATCCAAAATATATTTTTCCAGTTTTCGTATCACATCAATGCCATTAATAAATGTTATTTCACGAGCAACATTCAAATATATAGGTGCTAATAGATCATTTAAAAATTTCGATACCAATGTTGCTAGTGCATGTATACAGGCAATAATAGGTCGTAATGGTGTACTAGGCTAGGCAAAAGCAATAAAAAAGATTATAAATTATGTCTATATTGATCTAAACTATCTTTACTTTATGTGGTTTCTGTAGGCCATGATAATGGCCAAGTTCCAATTTGTTTAATTTTGGAGATATTTTACTATATTGTTGAAAGCTGAGAGCTTTCTCTGCTATAAGACTAGAGAGTAATGTTTGTACAGCATATAACATATCTAATAGAGGACAACGACCACTTGTAATTTCTTGATAAGCTTTTGTTTTT